ACAGTTATTTAATATTATTTTTATTGATTAAATTAATATTTGCAAACAAATATAAGTAAATATCATTTATTGATAGTTTATTTATGTAATTAAAACTAGATTTTACCAGTTTATAGTTATTATTATTATTATTATTGACTTTTTTATAAGTTATATAATTTTTCTAAGCTATTAAGCAATTTAATAAATATATATATCATATATAAGAAAAAAACTATAAATAAACTTATCTATTGACTAATAGTTTTTATTTATAAAAAACCCATAAATTCAAATAATTAATAATTAATTGATTTAAACAAACAAAAAAATAATAAAATAACTAAATATTATATATATGATATATTTATTACTATAATTTTCTTTTAATTTTTTTTAAATAAATTAGATTTATAATTCTACTAATAGTTTTTTTTAAATTATAAAACATTTGTTATTTGTTATTGTAATTTGCTTAATAATAATAAAGACAATTGTTTACTTAAATCAATTTTATTGATGTTAATTGTATTAAATAAAATAAAAATCAATTTTATTTGATTACAAACTTAACACACACTTCAAACATTCAATTAAATTCAAGTTATATTAGTCTTTATTGATAATAAAAAAATTGTTTTTTTGATTTAATCATCAATGCTTTTATCACATTTAAAATCAAATATAATAAAATAAAAATGTGAATTTTTGTTTGCTATTTTATTTTATGGCAAATGGACAATAAAAAAGACATATATGTAATATAAAAAAAACACAATTGTCTAATAAAACTATACTTCAATGATGGCTAAAAAACAAAAGTTTTATCAATTTTATTGATTTTGTTGTTATTTATCAATATATTTCAATAGTCTGTATCACTAGAAATAATTGCTGATAAAACACATTACATGAAATATTTTTATTATTATAATATTATGACATTTAACTATTGGGTTGTTTTTACACATACACATACACATACACATACACATACACATACACATACACATACACATACACATACACATACACATACACATACACATACACATACACATACACATACACATACACATACACATACACATACACATACACATACACATACACATACACATACACATACACATACACATACACATACACATACACATACACATACACATACACATACACATACACATACACATACACATACACATACACATACACATACACATACACATACACATACACATACACATACACATACACATACACATACACATACACATATAGTTTTGTATCAAATTAGTAATGCTTGATGTAATATAAAGGTCATCACTTTTATCTTGATTATATCAGTATAATATAAAATCAATAAAAACCATCAGATATTTAAATATTAATAACAAACACTAATTTTTTTTTAAATCTCAAATTCAGTCAATTAGACTAATTTTTTTTATTAAAAAAAATCATTAATTTTTAAAACTCTTAAAAATAAAGTACAATCTGTCAAAAATAGTTAGCAATAATGAAAAAATAACGTTTTTAGTTAAAATTGAATTTTTTAAAAACTTATTTTTAGTTTTTTATTTTTGTTACTATTTAGTTTTATTACATTCAATATAAAAATGTACATGTAAATGTTTATTAGATCTATATATATATATATATATTAAATTAGATTTTTATTTTTTTTAGATTAATTAAAAAATATTATATAAAAAAATATAGTTTTGAAGACTAGTAGAAAACAACTTATGTCTCAAATGGATATAAATTTTTAATTAAATTTTATATTAAGCTATAAATATAATTTCAAATAAATTATTTAAAAAAAAATAATTATTTTAATTAATTAGTTATCAAAAAAAATTATGTCAATAAATATCATGCAATGCAATATCTTTCACTCATATTTTTATTGAAATAAAAATGAAATTTTTACTATAAAATAGTATTAGTAAAAATTTTATAGTAAAATGATCTACTAATGTAATTTAATGTAATTTATATATACCATTATATAATTATTATAATTTTATGTGATATTAGATAACAAATTTTTCTGATAAACTAATAAGTCTAATAACCTTTAATGTATTTTTTTCTATATTAATATATATATATATTATACATATTGATATACTGGATATAACTAACTAATTAAATTATAATATATTGAATAAATTATAACTATATGTGTTTTTAATTTTTAATATATCAAATAACTAATTGGTAATAAATTTATATTACAGTACAGTATATATCGTATATTGTATATACCCATTTTTTTTTGCTAATAAATTAAATTTAAACTAATAGTTAGATTTTTTTTATTGGGAAAAATGTGTAAATACGAAAATTTCTAAATAAATTTCTAACTTGAAAAATTAATTTTAAATAATCTCAAAATATAAATTTAATTTAAATTTTTTTAGATATTTTTTAAAATGTTTATTAATTTTGTAAAATATAAATATAAATTTCAATTCAATATTATTAAGTAGATAATTTTTTATCACATAATTTAATAATATTAAAAGTTAGCATATGTAAGATAAACACGAGTAACAAAAAAAAAATAAAACATTTTATTTAGAAACTTTTTTTTGGAAATTTTCTAATTTTATTTATTTAATTTAAAATTTTCGTTTTCTTAATATAATCAAAAAATAAAAATTGAAATAACATTTTTTTTTATTAAGTACTATAGAATTTTCAATTTTAATTTATATAAATAATTTATCAAATAGTATAAAATAAATTTCAATTATTTTTAATAAAGATTTAACTATTAATATTAGATTATATATATATATATATATATATATATAATAAATATATAATATATAAGACACTGTAGATAAATAATATTTGAAACTTTTTAAAAAATTATATTAAAAGTAAAATCATTTTATTATTATTATTATTGATATAAATTATTCATTTTATATTTACAGTTTATCAAATGTGACATTTGATAAGTTAAAATGTTTTTATAGTACATGTATTATATAATAAATTATATCATGGTATTATCTATATATTGTATATTAGTATTTTTATTCAATTATTATTCAATAATACAGTATATATATATATAATATTTATACTGGTACCATTAGCTGTATTTATATATATAATAGGTTCAGTGTACTATTTATTAGCTGAAAAAATATACTGTTAATTTATATATAATAATACTGTATTATTTTATTTACAAATCAATATATTTATAATTGATAAAAATATATATTTCTTTATAAATAGATTACCATTAAAAAAATTATTAAAAAATTAATAACTTATTATATGTGTGTATGTACTGTATCTATGTATGTACTGTATGTGTATTTGTGTGTGTGTGTGTGTGTGTGTGTGTGTGTGTATGTATGTGTGTGTGTGTATGTATGTGTGTGTGTGTGTATGTGTGTGTGTGTGTGTGTGTRTTTGTGTGTGTGTGTGTGTGTGTGTATGTAATATATATACTTTATCTATGTATGTACTGTATGTGTATTTGTGTGTGTGTATGTATGTGTGTGTGTATGTATGTGTGTGTGTGTGTGTGTGTGTGTGTGTGTGTGTTTACATTAATAGTCCTCTAAATATAGCCTAAATATAGTAATTTTACCTTAAATATTTTAAGTATATTGTCAATCATATATATATATATATATATATATACAGTATACTGTATATATAAGGTTTATATATATGATCCATATATTTTTTATTATTATTTAGTATTATTTAGATATCATATGTTGTCTGCAATTGAATGTTTGTGAGTGGGTGTGTGATTGACAAAAATATCTAGACTTGACTCCCCCGCTAACAATAGTTTTTTATGTAACTAATAATATACTTACACTACTTTATATTTACGGTAAATTACTGTATATTAGATATAATACTGTCGTTGACACAATTAATTTTATTTATTTTTTTTTTAATATATACTGTATATAAAATCAAATATAATATTATTTAAAAAAATATTGATTATTAATTTAATTGAATCTCAATTGTTGATGTACTGTAAATTTATATATATATATATATATATTATTAAAAAATTTATTATAATTTGTAATTAATATTGATTTTTATATTAATTTCTAATTAGATATTCAAAAAAATTAAATAAAATTTTTATTAATCTAAACTAATTTTCTGTCTTATTATTATATCTTATTTTTTATTGAAATAACTTTAATAATAAACATATTTATCAAATTTTAATTACAGTATGTTAGAAACTAAAATCTATATATATATATATATATTAAATTTTAATTAATTAATTAATAAAAACTTATTAGTAACTTAGCAACATTAAAAAGTTTATTAATTTATTAATATATTTTTTAATAATCTAATATTTAAATCATTTATATTATACTTTACATTATTTTTTGTTGTATAAATAGTTATCAATTTTTTTTGTCCATAATATTTGATTATAATATTTATTGGGGCAAACAAATATTTATTTAAGCAATGTCAATGTTAATGTCAATTATATCATTTTATTATAATAAATGTGATATTAACGCTATATACAGTATATTGGGATCAATATATTTATATATATATTGAAGATAATTTAATTTAAAAATAATTATATGATTATAAATTTTAATGTAAATTTGATTAAAAATTATATTTGATTTCAGAGTTTAACATTTAGATTTTGTTTAATTTGATTTTTAATATTTATTTATTTAAAACAAAATAATCATACAAAAACAAGTTTAATATATATATATATATATATATATATATATATATATATATATATATATATATGTATATGTATATCTATATAAATAATAATCTTAATATATTGCTATACATATTGATTTAATGTCAATATTATTGATGATAATATTTATGTAAAATAAAAATAATACGATTAACATATATTAATTAAATGATGAGAAACTCATAATAACATATAATACATAAACAATTGATAACAAAAAAATTTATTGCTATTTATTGATTGAAAAAAATGCAATATATTTTTTTGGTGGTGTTGTGTCGTTTAATTCAATGTGTCTATTCAGAGCTCCGGTATAGTTTTTATTCAATTTGTCTATTTGAAGGCTCAGGTAGTTTTCAATCATAGCTAACAACAATGGTTTTATACGATCTGTTTAATGGTATTAAATATGCCATCAAATTGGATACCATTTACATTGATAACAATGTATTTCGTATGCACTATAAGCTAACGGTAGCCCTACTGATCGGGTCATCCCTGTTGGTAACCTCCAGTCAATTGTTTGGCGATCCAATCAGCTGTATAGGTGCCAATGATGATACCCAGGTACCCGAACAAGTACTACAAACCTATTGTTGGATACATTCAACATTTACATTGCCCGGTGCTCTCGGAAAACAAGTCGGGGTAGAAGTGGCACATCCGGGTGTCGATACCTATACACCCAATGAAAAACGTCAATATCATAAATACTATCAATGGGTAGCACTGGTACTGTTTCTACAAGCACTGGGCTTTCTGACGCCACGCTATCTATGGAAACAACGAGAAGCCGGACAAGTGGCCCGACTAGTTGGCCAACTAAATCAGCCAATTGTCGACAATAAAGACCAACAAATCAAGCTATTGGTCGGCTATTTGGCCAATAATTACCGTCGCGGTCAACATCGGCTATACTTTCTCTGGTATGTCGTATGCGAAACCTTGAATTTGGCAAACGTTTTGCTACAGATGTGGCTATTGAATCATTTTCTCGGCGGTTCGTTCACCCGATACGGTTGGCGTGTACTCGAATGGTCCGAACGGGATATCAGTGAACGCGGTCCGACCGACCCGATGTTGGCCGCCTTCCCGCGGGTAACCAAATGTACGTTTTGGGTATACGGCTCATCCGGTGATGTCCAGCGACACGACTCCCTATGTATACTACCGTTGAATATCATCAACGAAAAGATCTATATATTTGTTTGGTTTTGGTTTGCATTGTTGGCCTCAATATCGGCACTGGTCATGATCTACCGTTTGCTGACCATATGTTTTCCATCGGTACGCTATTTGGCACTCAAATCGCGTGCCCGATTGGCCGACTCGGCCAATGTTCGCCTTGTAGTTCGCCGATCGGATATTGGCCACTGGTTTCTATGGCATTTGTTGTGCAAAAATCTGGACGGCCAACACTGTGCACGTGTTTTGGACGCGTATTGCGATAGTGTTTTTGGTGTCGGCTCCGGCACCGGTATTGTGGCCAACAATACCAATGATAAGCAAGTAGTGATAGTCAATGAAATAATTTAATAATAATTATAAAACAATAATTATTATATATTTTGTTATAATATAATGTTTAAACTTTTGTTTTTTTAAATTTTAATTTTTAAGAAACTCTATTATTAATAAAATGTGTGTAAACTTTTTATAATTTTTTTTTTTAAATATAATATATTTAAATATAACAAAATATAATCTAATAAATATTTAATTTAATTATTTAATTTTATTTAATTTAAAAATAACTATTATAAAATTAAAAAAATTGCTACCAATTATTGTATAAAAAATTATAATAAAAATATTTAAAATAGATGGCAGTCTAGTATCTAATAAAGTATATAATATTTCATACATTTAGTAATATATTTTATACAAATATTACTAGTTTTAAAACATTTTCCTAATAAATAAAATCTAAAAAAAATATTTAATACACTAAAATAAAATTGGTATTTATTTAATACTAAATTAAATATTAATATTATTATTAACAAATCTAATTAACAAATTTTTTATTATTAGTATTATATATTTTTTGGTTTGCAAAATATATTTCATTTATTGAATACATGTTTTTTAGGAAAACGTTTTCAAATTATTTTTAAAAATTCCTCAAATTTATAGTTTTCATACAAATAATACTTAAAATTTGGTATTTCTAAAAAAAGATAAAACACACCAATCAATCAGGTATTGAAAATTATTTTTTTATTTAGGGATTAACACATACTATAGATTTATATATATATATATACAGTATATATATATATATACAAATAACCGGAATTTATTTTATTACAAAAAAATAATAATCATATATTTATGTAATTATTAATAAGAAATATATAATAAATTATTGCAATTTAATAATAATTTTTTTTCTCACTCTATCGTTGTAGTGATTAATGCCAACAATATTAATATACAGTTATATGATATTAATATATATAAGTTATAAAGTATAAGTAGTGTGTATTGAATAATTTATTTGAGTAATACATGCAAATATACAGTTTTTATGTTTTTTTAAAATTAATATTTATCTAAATGATGAAAAAAACTAATATATGTTATATATTATATATAATATGTTATATATATAATAAAACAAGTATTGAATATATAATATTTATGAATACATATTTGTGTATATTTAGTATATACATTTAATATATTTTAAATATTTATTATGTATATGTAATTATGTATATTTGTTAACATTTAAATGCCATATAAAATAATATATATATATATATATATATCTGAGAACCCATGTTTTATATAACAAATAAAATTTATCATTTATTTAATTTTGTTGTTGTTGTTGTTGTTGAAAAATACTAGTTTATTAGGACAAACATTATTATTATTATTATTAAAAATAATATTATATATATATAATTTTAATGTTGTGGTGGCACTGGTTATGGTACCAATTAAACAGTTTGTTATATAATTTTTTTAAATAATGTTTTTTTTTATAAATCCATTAATAATAATATTATTATATTATGTGTATAACCAAAATTTATTTTGTGTCAATTAATTTAGTTATAAAAACAACAATAAAAAACCAATTATTATAAACACACATACAGTATAAACTATAGTTATGTACCCAATTAACGTGACATTTAATAAATATAATAATATAAAAATATTATTATTCAAAGACAATAACTAATTTATTTAATCCCAATATATATAGTTATATATATTGTATAATAAGTATATACAATAAATTGTGTTAATATAATTGATGGGTTTATTATAATTATGACAATCATACTGTAATATACAGTATATATTATATATATTAAATCAAAAACCAAATAATCAGTCAATTGAATAATGATTATCACTGGTACAGTACTACCCCATTGACTTGAAATAATAATAATAATAAAGTGATTGTTTTAATTAAATAACAAAATTATATGTTTAGCATATTTAAAAACTTTTAACATACATATAATACATTTAATTAAATAAATAAATAAATACAATACCAAATAAATTCAATATATATATATGTATATAATTTAAATGTATTGCAAGTTCATGTACATTGAAAACAAAACAAATTATTTTATATTTAAAAAAATTAAAAAGAAACAAAACTTTTTATTTTAAATAAAACAAAACAAAAAATTAGTTAATAATTAATTAACAGTTAGTGTGTGTGTGTGTATGTGTTTTGGATGAACCTTTCAATTAATGATATTATTATTATTATTATACACATAATATTATATTATATAATATTTAGAGATATTTTATTTTATTTTAAAAATTATTACATTATTCACCAGAGATTCACATTTAAAATTCATAAAACGCTAGACTTGATTATCCAAATAATTAATTACCTTAACCTTAATATTGAAAAAATAAAAATATAAATTGTTTTTGTTTAACTTGAATTAGTTATTATTATTATTATTATTTTTTGTTGTTATATTAAATATTTTTGTATTAATATATTTATATATATATATACGGTATGTGTGTATATACAAGTATATTATGATAATATAATTTATTTTTTGTTGTTATATTATATATATATAATTTGATACAAAACAACTATATTTCTGGGTATTGGCCCTCAAGCACAGGTGGGTTATGTTACTGTATACTAAATATAATATTTATTTTTATATTAGTATTTAAATATCATATAACATAATATTTTTGTCAGCCCAACAAAAAAACAAAAACAAAAAATATAAAAACAAAAATACATTAAAAATGCTAATCAATGATATACGGTATATACATGTATATATACATGTATATATACATGTATATACCGTATATTAATAGTATTAGTATTAATGATAATAATAATAGTAGAAAAACTATGACATATCATATTATTTATATTACAATATGAATGAATTTGTATAACATTTTTGTTATTATTATTATTACTACTAATGATATTAATATATTTTTTTAAACGAAAAACTTAATAACTATATATATATATATATATAAAATCATTATAAATGTTAAGATATATCATGTATTTAAACTATTAAATCAAAAAAAAAATAATTCGGAAGTAGTTTCTCTCAAAAAAGTCACAAAAGTGTCAAATATATAATAAAAAACACACTAATATATTACAGCATATATATACTATATTTTAGTAATTATATGTAATAATAATAATAATAATATATATAAATTACTAAAAATAGTTAACCTTAACATTTTATTATATGGTAATATATCATCCATTAGAAAACAGTATAACAACAATAATAATAAACATTATTATTATTATATAAATTCACACATAAATATTACCCACTATTAATACATTAGGGTGACATATCCCTAGTATCTATAACTACCGGTGCCATATGTATATGTATTTAAGTGTGTGTTTGTGTGTGTGTATGTGTGTGTGTGTGTGTGTGTGTGTGTGTGTGTGTATGTATGTGTGTGCATATATGTATGTATGTATGTATGTATGTATGTATGTATGTATGTATGTATGTATGTATGTATGTATGTATGTATGTATGTATGTATGTATGTATGTATGTATGTATGTATGTATGTATGTATGTATGTATGTATGTATGTATGTATGTATGTATGTATGTGTGTGTATGTGTGTGTGTATGTATGTATGTGTATGTACAGGTATACATGTTTTTAAATATAATATTTGTGTATAACGAGTGTAACAAACAAAAAACAAAACAAAAAAACTTCATTTTACTACTAAATAATAATTAAAAAAAAACTCAACGGAAATAACTTTTTTTTGTACAGAAAAAAATCTTTAATTTTTTTTACTCAAAAAATACACATATATTTAACGTCTTTGTTGTCATCGTTATTGTTATTATTATTATTTTTGTTTTCAATGTTTTATATACTGTGTATATATATAAGTATATTTTATAAACACTAATATCTATGTATTTTGAGATTACAAAAAAATAAATAGTTTTTTCATTTTCTAAAAAACAATTGTAAATATAGTGTATATATTTGATATATATAATTGTTTTGTTGTAAAAATAAAAAGTTTAAGGAAAAACTTCACACTATAATAGACAACAACAACACTGATAATAATAATAATAATAATAATAATAATAATAAGTGAATCTTAAAACTGGTTTTTTAAAACATATTTTTTTATTAAAAAAAATTTCATATTATTATTACAATAGAAAAATTCTATGATATATATGAAAATATTTTTTTTCATATACAATATATTTAATACTTATAACTTATGTATTATTTTGTATGTAACTTATCTTAGATTTTTAAATTGAAATAAAATAAATATATTATATATAGAATATACTGTATATGACCACAATATATATATGACAAAAACAGTACATGACATTCAATTATATACAGTATATACAGTATACAATATATATTATATAAATAATATTATAAATAAAAATATAATAAATTTGAAATTGTTTTATTTTATTATTATTATTCCTAATAATTTTTTTCCTAACAAAAATTATTGCAAAACACATTATACATACAATATATAAAGTATATATACATTAAAATGTATAATACCTGTTGTTTTATTTTGTTTATTGTATTACTATTTGTATATAATATTTGTCTCTATAATAGATTTCTAAACTATTGTTATGTATTGTCTTTTTTTCATTATTTTCTTTCGAGAGTTGCATTGATTGCAAACAAAACAGTTTATAAATTTCAATCTCAATACAATCAAAGTGTGACCAAATAGGTGTCCATTCAATAACACACACATACACACACATACACATACATACACATACACACACACACACACACACACACACACACACACACACACACACACACACACACACACACACACACATTCACTCACTCATTGATAATTAGGGTTTGATTTGTTTTTTATATATAAAATGTAATGTATTTTATTTTGTATTAAAGTATTAGTATTAGTATTAGTATTATTATTGTTGTTGTAATACAGTATAATGTTATTTGAAAAAACAATGTTAAAGTGTATTGAATTGAATTGAATTGAATGAATAGATAG